CATGGAACAACCTCAAATTTGGATCAGACAAGCAGCAGAGCCATCAGGATCACAGATGGGAGTGTGGCAGAGGAGATGGGTGGTAGAGAATGGATTAAAATTCCAGTTGTAAAATCATGGAATATCCTGAGGTGGGATACTGTGTCCAGTGCTGGCTCCTCAGTATGGGAAGGACATTGGGATGCTTGAGCACGTCCAGAGGGGACAACGAGGCTGGAGAGGGGCTGAGGACACAAACTCTGTGAGGAAGCCCTGAGGGAGCTGGGGGTGCTCAGCCTGGAGAAAAGGAGACTCAGGGGTGCCCTCATCACTCTCTGCAGCTCCTGAAAGGTGCCTGTGCTCAGCTGGGGCTGGGCTCTGTCTCCAGGCACTGACACAACCAGAGCACACAGCCTCGAGCTGCACCAAGGGAAATACAGGTTGGATATCAGGAAAAGGATTTTTACAGAGAGAGTGATAAAGTTCTGGAATGTTCTGCCCAGGGAGGTGGTGGAGTCACCATCCCTGGGGGTGTTTAACAAAGCCTGGATGTGGCACTGGGTGCCAGGGTTGAGTTGAGGGGCTGGGGCTGGGTTGGACTCGATGGTCTTGAAGGTCTCTTCCAACCCAGTGATTCTGGGAATTCTGTGGGAGGGATCCACAGAGATCATCAATTCCAACTCCTTCCTTGCACAGAACACCCTCAAATTTGAGCCAGCCGAGCAGCAGAGCCATTGGGATCATGGATGGGAGCGTGGCAGAGGAGATGGGTGGTAGGGAATGGATTAAAATTCCAGTTGTAAAATCATGGAATATTCTGAGATGGACAGGATCCACAGGGATCATGAGTTCCAACTCCTTCCCTGCACAGAGCACACCAAAATTTGGGTCACCAGAGCCATTGGGATCATGGGTAGGAGGTGGGAAATGGATTAAAAATCCAGTTGTAAAATCGTGGAATATCCTGAGATGGAAGGGATCCACAGGGATGGATGGATGGATGGATGGATGGATGGATGGATGGATGGATGGATGGACGGATGGAGAGACGGGAATCCCCCAGTGTGGGAAATTAATTTGTAGAAAATCCATTTTCTACAATTCATTTTCTTTTCAAAATTCAAACATGAATTTTTTACAGATTCATTTCCCACACCCTGACCACTCCTGAGCCACCACATCCAAGGGCAGGTGACAATCAGGAGGTCATGGAAGGACCGGGCTGTGTATGCCTCCACAGCCCCTGTCCTGGGTGGGGCTGTCTGGAATGATTTTCCCAGAGTAAAGTACAGCTCAGTCCCAGGAATTCTCCTTTTTCCAGGCCATGGTTCCATTTCCATCCCCTGACCTTTCAGCTGAGCGAGCTCTGCTGCTACAGACCCCGGACAAGGCTCCCAAATCCAGCACCAGGAATTCCCTCTGGAAGGGAAGGGAGGCTGGGATGAGTGCCCCGAGCTCTTCCTGAGCTCTCCATAAATCCAGGAATATTGAAAAAGCCCTGCCAGGACCCCTGGGCTTGGGCACATCATGTTTGGGCTGAATAAACATCTCTGTCTCCATGGAAAAGGTCACCCGTGCTCAGAAAACATCTCAGGCAGCTCTGCTGTGGTTGTAAATTTGGGGAGGGGGTGTTCAGATTATTTTAATGATTTTTAAATTATATTTTAACAATTTTTATGTTTTATTTTAATAATAAATGTATTGTCTCCCTGATTTCCCCCCTCAGAATTGCTCTCCAGGAAGGACAGGCTGGAGAGGCTGTAGCTGATTCCCTTTGTTAAGGATTGCAAAAGAAGTGTGGATGTGGCAGTTTCTGAGGGATTTTCCAGCCTTAATGGCCCTGATTCTTTGTGCCTCAGTTTCCCTATCTGAGATGAGACGGGTGTCACAAAGCCAAGGAGGATCTGAGAGGATCCACGGGGTCCCATGGGATCACTGTGAAAGGGAAAAGGTCCCTTTTCCAGTTACCCTCGTGATGGGAATTGCTCTCAGATCCTCCTGGATGGGTTTTGGGAGGAGCACCCGGCCAGGTTTGGGCTCTGGAAGCTGCAGGGAAGGGATTCCTTCAGCAGGGAGGGAGGGAAAATCTGGGATTCCCAGGAGAAGGTGATGTGGAACCCCAACGCCTCCAGCTCCTTTCATGCTGCTTTCCAAGGGGTGTTTGGGGCAGATCCCTGCTCTGGGAATGCCCCAGCCTGGTGGCATTGTTTGGGGTAAATCCAGGGAATATTTGCCCTCTCCAGGCCCATTCTGCTCTCATTTGTTCCCAGGCACATCTGGAGCACCCTTGGTGACGCTGCCAGGAAATGTGGCAGGGAGAAGGGGCGGGGCTGGAGAAATGCCCCAAAGGGTCCTGCTCTGTCTCATCTGGAAGGAAACCCCAGCTCCACCCCTCACCTCAAAATATTCCTTTCCCTTCCTGCTTTAACGGCTTCATCAACATTCCCAACCACGCTGGGATGGCTCAGGGAAAATCCTAATTCCCTATTCCCTTTGGGTTGCTGGGGTGGCTCAGGGAAAATCCTAAAATCCTAATTCCCCATTCCCTTTGGGTTGCTGGGGTGGCTCAGGGAAAATCCTAATTCCCAATTCTCTTTTAGACAGCTGGGATGGTAGCAGGGGCATTCCAGGGGAGAAAATGAGGCAGGAGAAGGGAGAAAGAAGAGATCGTAAATATTCCAATGAATTCAGGGGATTCAGGGAATTCAAGATATATGTCCAAACTGGAACAAGTTTCAGAGAAAATCCTGACTGCTGCCCTTCCCTGGCTTCCCATTTTCCTGGCTTTGTTCCCCTCAGGATCAGCTGGAGGAGAGGGGAGGGATCAGGCAGAGAAGGAGCCTCAGAGGGGCTGGGCTGGGAATCCAAACCTCCCCACAAAGAGTTTTTCCTGGTTTTCCTTCTCTCTCCTGGCTCCTTGTCCTGCCCTTTCCACTCGGATCCTGGGCCTGTGCTCACAGGGAATGGTTTGGATTGGGACAGACCTTAAATTCCATCCAGTGCCACCCCTGCCATGGCAGGGCCACCTCCCACTGTGCCAGGTGCCCCAAACCCCAATGTCCAGCCTGGCCTTGGGCACTTCCAGGGCTCCAGGGGCAGCCACAGCTGCTCTGGCAATTCCAGCCCAGCCCCTGCCCACCCTCACAGAGGGAATTCATCCCAAATATCTTCATCCTGATCCTCACAGGGAGAATTTACCCCAAGCATCTTCATTTGAATCCTCAAGGGAGGGAATTTATCCTAAACATCTTCACCCTAATCCTCACAGGGAAGAATTCATCCCAAACATTTTCATCCTAATCATCATGGGAGGGAATTTATCCCAAACATCTTCATCCTAATCCTCAAAGGGAGAATTTTATCCCAAACATCTTCATCCTAATCCTTACTGGGGGGAATTTATTCCCTAAGATCTTCATCCTAATCCTCACAGGAAGAATTTATCGCAAATATCTTCATCCTAATTCTCATGAGGTGGGGAGAATTTATCCTAAACATCTTCATCGTAACCCTCACAGGGAGGAATTTACCCCAAACATCTTCATCCTAATCCTTACTGTGGGGAATTTATTCCCAAACATCTTAATTTCCAATCCTCCTGGGAGGGAATTTATCCCAAACAAACCCGTAATTAGCGCTCAGCAGATCAGCGGAGCCATTTCTCCTTCAGCTCCCATTTTTCCCTTCCCTCTTCCCTCCCCTCCAATTATGGAATTAGAGGCAGAGAAAAGCAGGGGTGGCCCTTGGGCTGATTGCTGCTGGAGGGGTAATTAATGCTAATTAATGCCTAACAACCTGCCTGCTTTCCCAGCTCCCTTCATCTCCCACGTGCAGCCGGAGCATCGCTCCCTGCATCCCCAGGCCGGGGAAAATTCACCTGTTGGCAGCAAAATCTGTTACATGTTTGGAACCACCTGTTTCACCCCAAAATATGCCAGGAGCTGTGGTGAGGAGCTGCTGGAATTTCTGGAATTTCAGCCTCTGAAGGCTCCATGTTGCCCCAAAATGATGAATCCCAAATATCTTCATCCTAATCCTCACATAGGGGTTTTATTCCCAAATAACTTAATGTAATCCTTACATTAAGGAATTTATCCCAAATATCTTCATCCTAATCCTGACAGGCGGGAATTCATTCCCAAATATCTTCATCCTAATTTTCACAGGGAGAATTTATCCCAAATGTCTTCATCCTAATTGTCATACCGGGGAATTTATTCACAAATAACTTCATGTAATCCTTACATTAAGGAATTTATCCCAAATATCTTCATCCTAATCCTGACAGGGAGGAATTCATCCCAAATATCTTCATCCTAATCCTCACAGGGGGGAATTTATTCCCAAATACCTTCACCCTAATTTTCAAACACTCCAGTCCATCCTGGATCTGTCTCCTCTTTGTGTCTCTGCCCTCCTGAGCTGTGTCCCTGTCCCTCACCTTGGCCACTGGCTCGAGCTGTCCCCAAAGGGATGCTCATCCTTTAAATCCTGCTCCTAGAAGTTTGGGATCTCCCTGGGATTATTTTGAACAGCTGGGCTGTGGGTTTGTTGTGAGGCAGGACCCAGGTTGGATTTAGGGAATACTGGGCATCCACACAGGACTGAAGGCTCAGGGGGAAGAGCTTCCTCTGTGGGTGGTTTTGGGGTGGGAGGTGGGGATGAACCTCCAGGGATACCGGGGCTCACTGGAGATATTGGGATGAGCAGCCCTTGTGTGGTTGAGGCTGCTAAGCCTGACTTTAAAGAGCTCGTTAGGATTTGGTTTAGGCAATGCTCAGCTCTTTCCTTGACCAGCTCTGGTTGTAAACCTGGCTGGCTTGGAGCTGAAATATTCCATTCCTCGGAGCTGCACTTCACTGGGGCTCTTGGACATCTTTGATCCTGGGCCTGTGACCACAGGGAATGGTTTGGGTTGGGAGAGACCCTAAATCCCATCCCATTCCCCCCGTCCATGGCAGGGACACCTCCCACTGTCCCAGGTGCTCCAGTCCCAATGTCCAGCCTGGCCTTGGGCACTGCCAGGAATCCAGGGGCAGCCACAGCTTCCAGAGAGATCTTGACATGTCAGAAAAAGATCCTTACATATGAAAATATTTATCCAGAGGCTGTTTTTGAGGTTGTTTTGGGAATGGAGTTGGTGAAAGCGCCTGGAATTCTCAGTTTAATTGCAGGACATTGCTCCCTGCCAGGCTCAGATACAATCCCAGCTCAGCACCTTGGGTTTGCAGCGACAGCTGAGGTGTCCTTGCAGAAACAGCTCTATCGTGCCCAAAGGCAAATTCCCACTGTGCCATTCTCTCAGGGCGCAAAACACCCCCTGCCAGCCTTTGTCCAACCTTTGGCTCAGCAGGACCAGCCAGGAAAAGCGGGAGAGGGGATTTTGCTGTGTTTAATGGGGCCTCACTGAGATCTCTGGGATCTCCAAGGGTTTCTCCAGTCCAAGAAACACTGGGAGAGCTTCAGATCACCGTAAGAGGAACTTCGGGTGCTCAGATCCATGGATTCTGCATGGCATGGGATGGAGGCATAGGGCACAGTGAGGTATTTGGGAATCTCTGCTCAGGAAGAGGCAGCAAAATGAACCTTTCCTTGCCTGGAGGCCGCTTTGGGATTAACAAATCCAGCATTTCTCCTGCCAGGCTAAATTCTCTTCCATTGATGATGGATTTTAGGATCTGTTTCCAGCCATCTGTTGGAATGTTGGGGAACACAAGACAGGTGATGGACTTTGGACGTGGCTGACAGAAGAGATTTGATAACAGGGTGCTTTGGCAAAAGCAAATGGAACTTTGAAAATTAGACCTGGATTGCAAGAAGATTCAATCAAACAGGTTTACCAGAAAAAGAAAATCCCATTAAACTGTGCAAGTAAGAGATGTTGTTATACGCATAAGTTTGTAGATGTGGTTTTAACTTGATCACTGTAGTACACATTACCAGTCTCCCTGAAACACTACATAAGTGCTTGTATCCCACTATAAAATCAGGTTCTGATCACTGAATCACTCTCCCTGGCTCTCTCCATTGCCGACTGCCATCCTCTGGTTCCTGCCCAAAACCCCACATTGGCCTCTCCTTCCTGATGGGAAAGAGGCACAGGCTGGTCCTGGAAGTGTGGGAGGGGATGTGGGGATCTCCCAGATTGCAAGGCAAGATGTCTTCTATTTGCCATCTCCATGGCAGCTGTCTCCTGTTCATGGGCAGTTTTTCTTATGTCTTCCATCCCCGCTCTTCCCTCCAGGGAGACACCTGCTGATAACAGCTATTGAATGTCCCTGCATGGCTGATAAGAACTACAGCATCCCATTGGGAGATGGGAGCCCAGAGGGAGGAGCCAAGCATTCCTACCCGGATAGAATCTGGAGATTCTGGAACACCAGCACGGCTTCTGCACTGGATTGCCCAGAGGAACAGCAGCTGCCTCTTCCCCATGATCTTCAGAGGAAGAGACTGCACCTTTGTCCAGGATCCCTGCTCCAGCAGAAGCAGCCCTGACACTGCAGGAGGGCTGAGCCACAATTCCAATGGGACTGCTGCCAACAGCCTGACCCACAGGGTGTCAGGTTGGGTTCTGACTCTGGCAGTGCTGGTTTAGTTCACTGCATTGTTTATTTTATCCTTTTTATTTTTCTTCCCAATTAAAGAACTGTTATTTCCTGCTCCCATATTTTTGCCTGAGACCCCCTTAATTTAAAATTGATAAGAATTCAGAGGGAGGGGTTTACATTTTCCATTTCAGGGGAGGCTCCTGCCTTCCTTAGCAGACACCTGGCTGTTCAAACCAAGGCAAGGGAAGGGGATGTGGGAAATGGGAGGTGGGGAAGGGGAGGAGAAAGTATGGAATCAGATGAGGGGAATGGTATGTGAGGAAAGGAAATGGGATGTGGGGAAAGGGATGTTGGGAAGGGGAAGGGGAAGGGGATGTGGGGAAGGAGAGGTTGGGAAGGGGAAGGGGATGTAAGGAGGGGGATGGTGGGAAGGGGAAGAGGATGTGCTCCCAATATCCCAGAGTGACCCTGGATGTGCTGCTGGGTTGGTTTTTCCTGCAGGCTGGGCTCACATGCAGGAACAGCCATGGGAACAAATCTGCCTCCTCATTTTCAGCCCAAATTTGTGCTCGGCCACAGCATAAATCCTCCGTGGTTTTCCAGCCTGGTTCATCCCTATGGGGAGCAGCACTTGGGGCAGTGATTCCACAAATCTCCAGTTCTCTGCTCATTGTGAACATTTCCTGACAGGACATGGATTTTTTTTCTGAGTGACTGTTTGGGCTGGAAAAATCCTCCTTGGACAAATCCCCTTGCTCCAGTGAGCCCCAAACTCCCCCCAGATCTGTTTCCTCGGGGCCATGGATGCTTAATTAACCCTTTTATGCTGCTGGATGGGGAATTTTTGGGGCAGAAGCTTGGCAGAGGAAATCCTGAGCTTTGTTAAAGCTTTAAGAACCTTTGAGCTGCCTGGAGCAGCCAGGGATGGACTTGGGCACCACCACCCTGCACTTGACCTTTTCCTGCTCTTCCACCCCTCAGGGGACAAACCCGGCTGGAGAGGAGCCAGGAGTTCAGGGCAAACAGAAACCTCAGCAGCTGTGGGGGCTCTGGGAGAGCTGCAGGGCTGGGACACTGGGATTCCACCTCCTCTCCCTCTCCTTGGCAATAATTCCTTGTCCTGGGTGGGGTTTGCCCCGGGAAGGGGATGTTGGGATGTTGGTTGAGGACTTTGTGATCCTTTTTTCTGCAGATTGGGCACTGAAAGGGGCTGGGACCTGAACAAGGGGCTGTTGTTCCCAGGCCATTCCCAGCACAAGAACAAAGTTCAAACAAACAACAGGAGACTGTTCCCGGTGCTTTTCTGTTGGAACTCCTTGGCCTGGGGTGGTGCAGGGCTGGAAATTCCTAAGAGATCCAAACCAATCCCAAAAGATGCTGGGGAAAGACCTCAAGGGCTCGAGCAGGGAGGCGCCACTGCTGCCTTGAAACATCCCCCACCTGCTGGGGGTGGAATTTCAGAGTCTGAGAATCCTGGAATGGTTTGGGTCGGAAGGGACCTTAAAGCTGGGTCCTGCTCTGTCATCCCAGGGGCTCCTGTTCCATCATCCCAGGGGATCCTGCTCCATCATTCCAGAGATCCCTGCTCCATCATTTCATGGGGATCCTGCTCCATCACTCCAGGGGTTCCTACTCCATCATCCATGGGGATCCCCTCCATCATCCCAAAGGGGTTCTGGCTCCATCGCCCCAGGGGTTCCTGCTTCATCATCTCAGGGGATCTTGCTCCATTATCCATGGGGATCCTGCTCCATCATTCCAGAGGTTCCTGCTCCATCATCCCAAAGGAGCTCCTGCTGGGGTCCTGCTCCACCATCCCAGGGCTCCTAAAAAGCTCCTTTTTCTGGGTATTTTTTGGAGTTTAGGCTCAGAGTGGAATCTCTGCTCCATTCTGTGAGATGGCTTCCAGAAAATCTCATTATCTGTTTGTTTATTGAATTAGAGGAGGTTGGAATGCTCTCCTGGCCCTCCTGCCATTCCTGCAGGAGAATGGGAACACATTTGGAGCAGTTATTTATCCGAGCAGAAAACTTTAATGCATTGGGATGCGGCACTTGGAGTCCAGGAGCGTCCTGTCCATTAAGCTGGAACTCAATTAGCCAAGAAAATGAAGCCTAATGAAGATCTGGAGCTGCAGAGAACATGGGAGAAAATCATCCTCATTCCCAGGATGCCAGGGCTCTGTTCTGCTCTTCCAGGACCAAGGAGGATCTGTTGTAGTACAGGAAAGGGGATGGTTTGAAACCAAAGGAGGTTTGGTTTGGTTTAAATTTGGTGCAAGGAGAAAATTTTTATGATTTGGATGTAAAACACTGGCACAGGTTCCCAGAGAAGCTGGGAGCTTCTTCCCAAGATCCCATCCAGCCCTGCCCTCTGGCAGTAGAAGCCATTCCCTGTGTCCTGTCCCCCAGCCCCTATCCCAAATCCCTCTCCAGCTCTCCTGGAGCCCCTTTAGGCAAAACCTCAATCCTGGAGCATCAGTGAGGACAGAGCCCAGCTCCATACACAGCCTGTCCTGCTGGAACCATTCCCAGACCCCTCCAGCCCAGACTTTTCCCTGCTTTTTTCCTGCTATTCCCTCTCCAGATCCTGCTTAACCCCCTCAGTTCATCCACTTCTTTTTCCCACCTCCATTTTGATGCTTCTGGCAGCTCCACGATGCTCCTGCAGCCCAGTTGTCAAAAAGCCCTTCCCAATAAATCCCATTTGAGCTCCAGAGGAGCCCATTCCTTGCAGCCCATTTGCTGCCTCCTGTCAGAGATCCTGCAGGGTTCCATTAAATTTGAGATGGGAAACAATTCGGAGAACAATGAAAATTTGTGCCTTGGAAAAGGGAAGTGTTTGGCTTTAAAGGTATTGTTTCCATGGAATAAACAGAATCGTGAAATGTTTTAGGTGGGAATGGACCTTAAATCCCCTCCAGTGCCACCCCTGCCATGGCAGGGACACCTCCCAGTGCCCCAGTGTCCAGCCTGGCCTTGGGCACTGCCAGGGCTCCAGGGGCAGCCACAGCTGCTCTGGCAATTCCAGCCCAGCCCCTGCCCACCCTGCCAGGGAACAATTCCCAGTTCCCAAGATCCCATCTAATCCAAACCTCTTCTCCTATCCTTGCATTCCCTTGTACTTGAAATAAACCTGGGAATGGTTTTGGAAGAAGAAAAGCTTTGGTGAGGAGCTCTCAGAACTCTCCTCCTCTTGTATCATGGTCCAGGAGTTGGAGCAGGGAAAAAGAGCCTGGAATTGGGAGCTGGGAGCCCCCCACCCTCCCCCAGCAGTGAAAGGTGTCAGGAAGGGAAATAATTCCAACTTCTCCTGCTGATTTCCACTTTGGATCCATCAGGAAACCTCCCCAGGAGCATGGGCATGGTCACCCCCAGGCTTTGGGAATCATGCACCTCTTCCTGCTGGATTTAGGAATTGTTTGTGGCAGGAAACCTTCCATGTGCTCATCCCACTGCCCCTGGCAGAGGGGAGATCCTGCC